GGCTGCAGATGGATGCCATCAGTAGCTCACACGGTAACGAGACCATGAAGCTCACTACCAGACAGACCTTCCAGTTCCACGGTGTGATCAAGCGCAACCTTCGTGGCGCCATGCGTGCCATCAACAACTCTATGATGGACACACTCGCTGCCTGCGGTGATGTGAACCGTAACGTTATGTGCAGTTCTCTGCCCGAGTTGTCTTCTTTCCACCGTGAGACCTGGGCCATCTCTTCCAAGATCAGTGAACACCTACTTCCCTCAACATCTGCCTACCACGAAATTTGGCTGAAGGATGACAACGACAAGAAAGTTCAGGTTGCTGGAGATGCTGTCGTTGACCACGAACCCCTCTACGGTCCTACCTACCTCCCCCGCAAGTTCAAGATCACCATTGCCATTCCTCCTCACAACGACACTGATGTCTACGCCCACGACATTGGTTTGATTGCTATCAAGGGTGCCGATGGCAACCTCGAAGGCTTCAACGTTCTGGCTGGTGGTGGTATGGGTTCCACTCACAATAACACCAAGACCTACCCCCAGACTGGTCGCATGTTTGGGTACATCCCCAAGGACATGGTTCACATTGCCTGCGAGAAGATCATGCTCGTGCAGCGTGACAACGGTGACCGCAAGAACCGCAAGCACGCCCGCATGAAGTACACCATCGACGATATGGGCGTTGACGCTTTCCGAAGCGAGGTCGAGAAGCTTCTTCCCGACGGCCTCCAATTCGGCGAACCCCGCCCCTTCGAGTTCAAGTCCAACGTCGACACCTTCGGCTGGCTTAAGGATGATACTGGCCTCAACCACTTCACCTTCTTCATCGAGAACGGTCGTATCGAGGATACTGCTGATTTCAAGATGCGCACTGGTCTTCGCGAGCTTGCTGAGATGGGCAAGGGTGAGTTCCGTCTCACCGGTAACCAGCACCTCATGATCTCTCGCGTCACCGATGAAGACCTTCCCGCCATCAAGGAGCACATGGCCAAGTACAAGCTTGATAACACTGCTTTCTCTGGCTTGCGTCTGTCTTCCTCTGCTTGTGTTGCCTTCCCTACCTGTGGTCTTGCCATGGCAGAGTCTGAGCGCTACCTCCCCGTTCTGATCTCCAAGCTCGAGTCCACCCTTGAGGAGTGCGGTCTTGCTCGTGACAGCATCGTCATGCGTATGACTGGCTGCCCCAACGGTTGTGCTCGTCCCTGGCTCGCCGAGGTTGCCTTTGTCGGAAAGGCCTTCGGTGCGTACAATATGTACCTGGGCGGTGGCTACCACGGCCAGCGCCTGAACAAGCGCTACCGCTCTTCCATCAAGGAGGACGAGATCCTTGAAATCATGAAGGGCCTCCTCAAGCGCTACTCTCTTGAGCGTGATACCGACGGCGAGACCCCTGAGCGTTTCGGTGATTGGTGTATCCGTGCTGGTGTCATCAAGGCCACCACTGACGGAAAGAACTTCCACGATGGCGTAAGTTATTCCTTCTATGATATCCACACTATTGATTCTAACAATTTCTTACAGGTTGCCGAAGATGAGGAAGAAGAGTAAATGCTGAACACAGCAGTTACACATATAATCTCTGATTTTTACGACTCTCATGGGATCTAAAATTTGCTTTCTCCCCTTCTAATTGTTGGATATTTTCACGTCTGTATTTCACGTCGCAATGCATTGATGTCTTGGCGATTGTATGATTCCATGCAAAAATGTTAGATTTCGTCTCTTTTTCTCTTTTATTCCCTTTCTTGATGTGGATCTCGATGACAGCTCAAGTGTGCTCGTACATATATACTCAAATGATATCCATTTTCCAGCCACCTTAAGATCACTTGAACATCTTCGTACCTGTGGCAGAAACCTAACCGTGGAATCGTGTCAGGGGCGACCCCGGGAAGCTGATGCAGAGTTTACATCACCTGGGGACCCTCAGTGTGCCTCTTTCGCAACCTTCAAAACTTCCAAGGTTCAAAGTTGTCTCAACTTTATCACTTCTTCTAACACTTTCGTTAATGCCCATTTCAGCTTCAATAGGTTGGTCAATATGAACTCGATACTGTCAGCGCCTTTCGCGCCACTGCTCTATCTACTCCCTCGGTTTCGTCAAGAGCAGGACTGGTCGTATCGACAAGCACTAGGAAACACTTTCATAAAATTCTTCCTACGCATCTTCGTGGCATTTCGCACAAAACCACCACTTTCTCTCAAGCCAGGTCTAGACGGAGACCGCTTCGTCGCGATAGAGCCAGGAGCGCCAGAGCTCTATACCAGCATCACAGTGGACAACGAGATCCAGCCTGTGACTGTAGGAGGCACCTGGTTCCCATCACTCTACCAGTACAACACAACAACCACCCAAGACAAGCATGTCGTGCTCCACTTCCATGGCGGTTCTTACGTCCTCGGCGACGGCCGCACATCGTCATGTCAGTTCCTTGCCAACAATTTGCTAGAGCACACACCAGTCAGCCACGTCTTCAGCCTACAGTACCGTCTAGCCTGTAACCCCAATGGCCGTTTCCCTGCCCAACTCCAAGACGCCATCTCCGCCTACTCCTACCTACTCCACACGCTACACATTCCGGCATCTCGCATTGTTCTCAGTGGCGACAGCGCGGGTGGCCACCTCGCCCTCGCACTCCTACGTTACATCATCGACTACGAGGACGAAAAGGTCCTTCCATCACCAACATGCTCATGGCTTTTCTCGCCCTGGTGTGATATCCCCGGAGCCCGCAACAAGGATCTCTGGCAGAACATTCCCAATGTACAGACGGACTACATCCCGCCCTCGTTCCCCGCGTGGGGCGCAAAGCATCTTATCGGTAACCTAAACGTCACCAGCGAGTTTGAGCCATATCTTGCGCCGCTCTGGCATCCCTTTGCCTTGCCTTCGCCTGTTTTGATTGTCTCCGGTGGCAGAGAGGTTATGTGTCAGGAGCATGATCGACTGGCAAGACAATTGAGTAAAATGCAGCAGAATGAAGGCCGAGTGGAGTACTTTGTGCAGGATAATTTGCCCCACGATGTGCTTATGGTTGCTTGGATTCTGGACTTTCGAAAAGAGGCTGCTCAGTGTGCTGTTATGGCTGGGGTGTTCTTGACAAGGATGCAGGCTATGTCGGAGGAGGATCTTGAGGTTCCTTCCGTGGCTTATGAGCCACGATGATGTTGCTATGTATGCCCTTTAGGTGTACCATATTGCTACCTATGTATGCTATTTGAGCTGAACTTTCTGAACTCTTGACTCTACCTGGCAAAATGCTATTTCGAGAGACTCTCTACGGATTTCTTGGCCTTATTATCCAGGCCTTCTGGTACATAGCCATTTCTATCATTTCAGCTCTGTCTATTTCATCTACTCGATGTTTGTTTGGTCAAAATAACCAGGAAATACCGCCTTCCCTAAAATCAAGTGTTTTTCAAATTGCAGTTTGTTTGTCAGTGACCAGGCAGTTTCCAGCTTCTTCAGACATTAAAACCTGAAATCTTCTTTCCTCTTTCAATCTCTTTCAATCTCTTTTCTCTCAAGCCACTGCACCATCGCAACTTATAACCTGTACCGAGGCTCCTATTCTCGATACTAGCATATGCAACCAACGCTGATCAGCGCCGTGATCTCGTACAAAGTCGTTGGCACTATCGACTGATCGACCTCCATCGCCTTCCACCCCAAGTGCGTTAACGTGTTGAAAACAGGCACAGACTCAGAGAATTCGAAGACACGCACAGCCACCGGACAGGTGTCTACGCACTGTTACGGTCGAAAATGGCACCCATCCCAGGGATCATTCGCGAAGCAGCTCGCTTTGAGATCCAGCAGGGCATAGACTGGACAGACTACGGACCATACACCAAGATAACGACAACTGACACACACACTAGCTACAGCAATCTGGCAAACCTCTCTCACGAGCTCCAGGAGTGGCCCTTTTCCCCCGTGGTCATTGCCAGCATTCTTTTTGCGATTATCGTAGTGGGCATCGTCGCCCACTTTTGCTTTCGGGGAAGGTACAGGTATGTGACGAATACCCTATTTGGGATTGCGCGGGGTCACTGATATGAGTTGGTTATGCAGGTATCCGCGGCAAACTGCTTCACCCGAGGATAAGATGAAGACGGAGGACGTTGATTATCTAGATACGGTTGAGGAACCCCGCTCAGGTATGTTGAGACATACATATGTCTTGCTACGTGCCCGGCTCATGATGTACAGATGGCTGGATGTGTCTCATCCTGGCCTGCCATGCTGCCATTACCCTCGGTGTTGTCTGATGCAGAGGAACGGATACAGCTGTTGGAGAACAAGACAGTCGGATGAATACCCCCTGTTCTCTGGTTAGCTAACAATTCTCTGTGGGACCGCAGTTGTTTTGTGGAACTTGAAGGTAAGACTACAAGTCTGGTGCTTGTGGTCTTAGCCTGATGTGACGATTTATTTACGAGACTGGATCGAATATGGGTTCTAGCGTTTAGCAATGGATATTTTTATGTCTGGGGAAAACAACCCAGTCAGCACAAACCAAGTGGAGGAAGGGAGGTGCATCTTAAGTAATTATCAACCGCAGAACATGTTAGCTCCATAGCATATTTATATGCTAACGGATATCGTCCAACTGATTTGTAAAACAGGCCCTTTCCGTGGCTTCCCCCAACAAATACAAACTTTCCAAGGTAATATCACGAATTGCTACGAAATGCAGGCTGAGAAAGAAAGGATCCAAAGTTTCGCGCTGTGGCGATTTTCTGGCTATTTCTCGGCTGGTGCTTATAAAGGCAGTATACTGCCCCGGAGCCCTGCTTCCGCTCCATATAGGCTTCCCAGCTACCGTCTGTGAGCTCATTATAAGGCCAGTTTACCCCGCAAATGGTAATATTCCTCCAGAATTGGAGAAAATAGACGCGGGGTCGGCATCTTGGCTATCTGAGCGCCAGGGGAATCCCAGTATAAAGGCCCATACCCATTAAACCTGGTTAAATCTACTCAATTGCAACTTCACCATGCCTAACTCCAAGCCATCCAGTGTCATACATGTGGAGGATGTATTCCCCGAGAAAAGTCTGGAGGCTGCACCCAGTCTCGAGCACACGTATATGGATAGTGGGTTGAGTCGCGATGACGCATATTTCCTTGCCAATTTTTCAAATGAAAAGAGGAACAAGTGCATTTGGAAGGTTAGTTAGACCATGATTTTGATATACAATAACTCGGGCATAACATGGGTGAGTGTAGATCGATTGGCGTCTCTGTCCCATGTTGGCGTTTCTCTACCTTGTCTGTTATATTGACAAGGCAAGTATTGGTAGGTGTCCCTCGTGATCATGGCCTTTGCGACAGTATTGATTTTGGCTCTAATACCCAACAGGAAATGCCAAAATTGAAGGCATGCTGCCGGATTTGAACATGTCAGGCACCCAATATAATTGCCCTGGGGATTTTCTTTGTCCCCTATGTGCTATTCGGTATGGCAGCGTCCTCGATACCGTTTCTAGCTTACCCTACTAACATGAGATTGGCTCCTAGAGGTTCCTAGCAACATTCTACTTGCCAAATTTAAAAAGCCGTCTGTTTATTTATCGATTTTGATGCTTCTGTGGGGAATCGTCGTGACCCTAACAGGGGTTGTGAAGAACTTTTCTGAACTATGTGCGGTCCGCGTGCTCCTTGGTATTTTCGAGTAAGACTACCACTGTGTTCTGTTGCCGAATCCATTCGAAAGTTCCTGACCGGTTTGCAGATCCGGGTTCTTCCCAGGCGCCGTGTGGGTTATTACCGAGTGGTATCAGCCACATGAAGTCCAAAGCAGGATAGCAATCTTCTACACTGCGAGCGCCCTGGCCGGTGCATTCTCCGGGCTTCTAGCATTTGGCCTAGCCAAAATGCGCGGAATCGGTGACTACAACGGCTGGAGATGGATTTTCATCATTGAAGGAGCTGCAACAGTACTCCTCGCAGTCTTCTGCTACTTCTGCCTAGCGGGCACCCCTAAGCTCTCCACTAGATGGCTGGATCCTGAAGAGGTCCGGTTTCTGGAGCTGCGCAGACAGGCCGTCCGAGGACGTATTGTGGTAGACGAAAATCCTAACAAATTTGACTGGAAAGAGCTCTTCAAAGTCCTTACCGATTGGCATCTCTACCTGCAGGTCCTGTCCTCAACTTCTGGTCCAACACCGTGCCAAACTACGGTCTGAAATTCTCCCTACCCCAGATTATAAAGAATATGGGATATACCTCTGCAAACGCGCAGCTCTTCTCAATGCCCCCTTACTTCGCCGGCGCGATATCCGCGTACGTCTTTAGTGTCATTGCAGACAACCTGCGATGGCGCATGCCAATCATCATTACTGGCCAGATATGCGTGATTATTGCGTTCTGCATTCTATTCTCTCTCGCCGATAATATCAAGGATAATATCCCAGCATGCTATTTTGCAGTCGTCCTTGCCTGCATCGGTTTGTACCCGATTATCCCGGGGACCAACGCGTGGACATCCAACAATCTTGCGGGCGCGCGGAAACAGGCCATGGGCATTGCGTTTATGATTAGCATTGGCAATTGTGGTGGGCTCGTGGGATCATTTATCTACCTTGAGCGTGAGGCGCCCAAGTATCCCACTGGGTTTGGGAATTCGTTTGCCTTTGCGGTGGCGGGCATCGTGGCGAGTGTCGTTTTGGAAATTCAGGTTCTGGTATGTAAATAAGCAGAATGCGAAGATGAGTAGGGAGGAGATTCATGAGAGGTATGCGGCTGAGGAGTTGCAGCTTATTGGGGATCGGTCGTCACTGTTTAGGTATACGCTTTGAGTGTACTTAGCTCTCGGCTTGGCTGGATAGTAGAACCGGGAATTATATTCGATGCTTGCGTTACCAGCTATGGTCAGCACCAGGTCCTCACTGCAGGTCCCTCTGTCCTATGTAACCAGGCTCCTTTTTTCGTTATTAAGAGGATTCGATTGTTCCCTGCTCTACTTAGAGAACGAATAACACGGATCCCCAGTCGACAGCGTTAATTGAATGTATCCACGAAATCTTACACCTTTACCCAATCCCTCGTGCCGACAGTTTCAACCATCTTCCGCGGACCCTCTCAAACTGTCTACCGTCTGTAGTGCTCGACGGGGCGGGAAATCGCGCCATTCTGTGCGTTGATTTCGCAGTCCGCGTCGGCAGACCGCCAGGACCATTTCATGTCCTCGTAGGTTCCGCTCATCAGATTGCAGGTCCCTGGGTTGTAGAGCGTTTTGATGGTGCATGTCAGCGATCTCGCCCATTCGGCTTGGGGTCTCGGCGAGATTGTCTAGCAGCGAGCACCCAGCGATAGATGATGGCTAGCTGTGTGAAGGCTAATGTTGAGGTTAACAGGCAACACGCTGCGATCATAATATTCTTCGGCAAATAACATGGTGATACTGTTGGCAATAAACCAAACGAGAACTATAAAATAGCTAGGAAAGGTTGGGATCTACGTGGAATCGTGAGGGCATCTATAAATCGATTTTGGCCCTTGCAGTTCGGGAACTTTGGATTCTCATTTGATAGGATTTGTTATGTCTCTTTTTGTCCATTGGATCTTGATGCTCCCGGCCAGATTAAATGAGCCGAGTACTCTTACAGCCAAGGTATTTGTAGTGGGTAGTGTCATGAATGTACCCTAGCCAGACAACACATAATCTGAGCGAATTGGATCTATGTATTATCAAGCCAGATACGAAAAGCCTACAATATACGGGGACTCAATATTTAGCCAAACAACTCTATATTGACGGGCAAATCCAGAGATCTGAGAGTAGTCTAGCCTAGCTAATTGTATTTGAACCCTGCTCAAACCCAACCGTCTCCACCAATTGATATCGCACCAATCGTCCAACCCGAGCACACTGGCCCGCGCCACGAGATCCCCCTGAGGAATTCCTCGTGAGGTGCATCGAATCGCGTTGGCCTCTTGTCGTATCATTTCTCACATGATTACAACCGACATCATAAAAATCCATAGATGTCGGCGCCTGTGCTTCGAAGGTAAGGGTGAGAAGTCCTCGCCTGGTTGGTCAGTCATTGCGACCGCTTCAATGGTTACCGACTAGGTCTCAATGGGATGAATCCGCCTGCCCGCTCCGGGCGGCCCTGACATCCCTGTTTCTTTGCGACTACCCCATTCGGGGGCATTTCTTTGTCGACTTGTGTATCATTAGTTAGGGAACAGTTTAAGTGGTGACCGATTGGTCTCAATTGCGACTCCCCATCTGGGGGCATTTCTTTGTCGACTGATGTTATCGTTGGTTGCATTAAAATGAAAAGGAGCCGTGGGTGTCTGCAACTCGAACTGTTACAAACGTCTTCTTGGCACGAGCGATATAGATACCCTCGAGTCATAGTAGTGGTTTGGTCTGAGGATGGACGAATGGATTGACAACAATCGATGGAAAATAGGAAGATTTGAGCAAGGAGTGCGTCTCTCACGCTAGGAAGGCATCGAGGTGGAATTGGCGGGCTCGATGATGACGGAGGCTGGAAGAGCCTCGACGTCAAGAGAGAGCGCTTGACGATGAAGGGAGAGGGGGGATAGCATGGTAGTTCTCTCAGCACAACTCGGTGGCCCTCAAGAAGAAAAAGAAGGAAACATGGAGCTCAATTTATTGGAAGCGAGCAGCCCTGGAGCTTTCGAAGCTGGTGACTAAGCAATGGCGGTGAACAGATAGCTGTCTTACTGCCAGATCCCCGCCAATGAATTTCGATAAAAAAAAGTTATCAGTCCAAGTTGTTCATCTAGAGGGCAATTGTTGCGAGTTCCCTCGTTTTTTCATCGCTCACTGTTCATCTATACTCACTTACCTCATAGCCATGACTTTCTCCGATGACGATCCCGTCGTCGCTTCGTACGACGTCCTCCTCACTGACTCCGATGTTTCTCGCTATGTCTTCCAATACGTTGACCGGGAGCACGATCGTCCCTACAATGACCAAGAAAATCAACGACCGATCCAACTTCGACTTAAACCGCGCACCGGTCTAGTTGAAGTTGAAGTTCCCATCAGCACCCGAGAAAACTACGATGTTAACAAGGGAATGCGCTACGGGGATGCGGTAAATAAGAGCCGTTCCGCGCGCGATGGGGGCGCTTATGGTATGGCAGGCGGCTTCACTGCTGGCAGCGGGACTGCAGCTGCAGGAGGAAGAGTAAAGATGGAAGCGAATGGGGACGTGGAGATACTGGATAATAAGAGAGCTGTGGATTCTGCGTCATTGATGCGAGTGCAGTCACTTGGAGGTCGGATAAAGCCTTCTGAAGAAGGCGATCCCGTTTACATGCTGGCCACTTTCACAAATAGTATGTTTATTTCTACTCAATCGCTTTCTTTTCTGGTGGCAGCACCCAACTCTAACACCCGTTCTTAGAAAACTTGCATCTCTCACCCGTCACATCGGTTGTCCAGTTCCACCCTCAACTTCACCACTTGGATGCTTTAGATGAGATGCCAAAAGGGAAAGGCTCCCGTGCTAAAAAGGATGACGATGACCGTCCTGCCGAGACCGAAGCACGTGCAATTGATATTAAAGTCAAGGCCGCTGAAGATGCTGAAGCGGCGATCAACGCCGGCAATCTAGACCTTCTTAAGCAAATGCAAGATGAGAAATGGAAAACATACGGCTGGGTTGATGCCGAGGTACGTCCTATCTTTTGTTGACCTTCTTTATGCTTGTTTCCCACTGACCCTTACCGATCCCAGGCCGAGGATTCTTGGTACACTTATGAGAGTTTTATGATTCACAAGGATACCGAACACCTCCCGTCCCTAGAATCAAACATCGAGTCGGAAGACTACCTCGACAAAATGAGCGCCCCTAGGATTGATCCTGCCCGCCCCGACATGACTGGTTGGGCTATGAAGGAAAATCGCCGGAGGCAAAAAGACGGCCAAACAGTTAATGAGGCCTGATAGCGAGGGGTTATATTGTATAACAATCCAAACAACCAATTCGTAGCGGAAACTTATTATCATCTTCAGAGGCATTCCCTTAAAGACAAAATCACGTTAGTGTAGAAAGCGAAGCTCTTTGCCCAGTTGCCACTCATACTTGTCCGCCAATCACGATAGGAGAATGGATAGGGTCACGTGCCATGTTTGGTTTTTCTGCCATCTCAGTTTCATCGCGACAGGTCCGATAAATCTCCCTTTCTCCTGTTGCCTTCGCGTTTTTCTTTTTTCCCCTTTCCCTCTTTTTTTTGGTGGTTCGGTCAGGGTTGCAGGACAGCGTGTCGACGCGATCAAATCCGTCTTCTATAGCGGAATAATCGCATTGGTGTCGCCCAACACCCTTCATTGCGGTGTTCTGTTTTTCTGGCTATCATCGTTGAAAGTCTGCATTTATCTTATAATTTACCCTTAATATCTTTTCCTTTTGGTATCATTATATTCCCATTCGCTTTTGACGTCCAACATTCGATTTCCAGCACCCAAAAAAGCCAATTTCACGCACCATGTTATCTCGCGTGGCTTGTCGAAAAAATGCTTTCCTCCACTTGCGGAGGGCTCATGCCTTCCGACCATCGTTCGATCTGCTGACTTTTCGGTCCTATTCGAGTAATCGGAACACGCTTTTGAATCTGTCATACAATTCGATTCACGATCGCCCACGCACCCCGTCTCCGCGATCAGAGCGTCATCTTGCTACAGCCGCCGACCATTCTAGCATCGACGGGCATTCGCCCGAGACTTACGACCACTTCATGCACATGCCTTTTGAGAGCTTCGACGCATCGTCCCTGATCATCCTCGACTCGACGCCACAATCGCAATCAAAAATTTTCCGCAGGAGGCATGGTGTCGGCGGTGATGAAATAGAGATGAAGGCCAATCTAGAGGTCTCGTTGAAAGTTGGGGAGTTCGAGCGAGCCTCTAAGTTGATTAGTCGCCTTGGCCATTATCACCCGCCTGGCTCAGATGAATATCTCCTTATTCATAATCGTTTCATGAAAGAGATGGTGGGGCACATGATCCTCAACCGGCAGCAAGACATGATTCTGCCGCTGCAGAAATGGTTTGAAGTTGATATGCCTGCCGGAGGCGTGACACCGGATGCAAGCAGTTTCGCGATTATGATTCGAATGGCGCTGCGTATGCTTCATGGATCGAAGCGCGACAGAACTGTTCGTCGATACTGGGAACTTGCTCAAAACGCGGGCTTGGAGGAAGAGCTTGTCGGCATGGAGGTCCTTGAGGACTCTGATGTTGGCGAGCTGGCTAAGGTGAGCCTACGCTTCTAGTCTACACTCTGGGTCCTGCTGACGTTCCCAATCTAGATTTGCTCCTCCGACATGCTGGACTTGGTCTCGAAATATATGCATCTCTCCGAAACTACTGAAGCGCCTTCCGCCATCGTCGATGATACCCCCCAGGTGCAGGCTGCTGACCAAAAGGGATTGGGACTGGAATCTCTGAAGCAGTCCCTGTCCCTCTTCTCCGACAATTCTGCTGTACGTTTGCCAGAAAGTTTCACAGGCACCGAAGAGGAAGGAAAGCAATTGCTTTCAGATTTGAGGCAAAGACGGCTCGAAACCGATAGTCTCGATTCTGCGCTCTGGCGTTGGCGCGAAGATAATGCCGAAAGACAAAAATCCGGGCTCAACGTCGCTTCCGATGAGAAAAGGCTCAATAAAATCATGAGCCAATGGCACACGGACCTTGTAACAAGAATAAAGAAG